ACTGACGCTTCCTGTATGCTGTTTTATTTCACCCAAACCTATCTCATTTGTGTTTTCCCTCGTTCGAATTCCAAAAAAACTTACAGATATGTGCATATTCAAGGCTTACTAATTACCAATTCCGAATCAGTGAACCCCTCTCACTCAAAGCAGTATTCAGCCCTGTTAGAGCTCAGCTATCATTCTGTAAGCCTACTATGATCCACTCGTACTTGATTTTGATATTCTATAGAGAATTACATCTTTTTTCTAATAATTCACCGGGACCATTCATGGTTTTCCCAAATCGGATAAATTGTTGAACTTGTTCGTCTATTTCTCCACAGGCGCTATTTGGATTCTAAGAGTTTTGTCACTGATAAAATAAGGTCAAAAGAGAGAAAATATTTTGATATTTACAATATTCATGAATCTGAAGGGGAGAGGGAAACCTTGCTACTAGTGAAAATCAACATTTGCAAATCATTCACAATCCAGGAAGCATACCAGAATCCCATGATTAATTAATCTGTTCCTTCAAATGTAACCCCTTTGGTGATAATAACTCCGTGGACAGATGTACACAGAAAAACGTAATCCACAACATTTCTGCTGGAATATCATCAAATCAACAGAACAAATTGATTTTTGTTGACAGGACTGATGTGCATGCGTAAATAAAATGAACGACAGGTTCATAATGATACTGATACCTTTTTTTGTGTCAACCGTAAAGTAATGATGGCGTTATACAGGACGGAACGACACGGAGTTACTTTTGAGCTTTTCAGAGGTCTTTTGTATCTGTACACCAAGGGTTCGTCCCAAAACATCTTTCTTTCCTTCGATCCATTTGAAAAGTAGCATGAAATCTACGCAGGCCATTTGCCTAAGTTTCAAAGTAACCGCGTTACTGAATTAGTCTTTGTTAGGATGCCCCAGTGGAAAAACGGACTTCCTTTGGAAGCAAACTTAATGTTGCGACGAGACTCGTGTAAGCCCCGCCACCACGGTCAAAGGTCAGATCAAATGTGGTGGTTTCTCCATAGCCCCTCAAGGTGCCCATCCAAACATGGCTTGAAGGCAGTGTCGGTCGTCTCCTCCACTACAGTCGCTGGAAGGGAATTCCAGAGCGTTGTTGACCTCCGCGAGAGTCGGTAGACTAACGGAAGACCAATCGACTGAAGTTTCCGCGACGTGAAAGAGTGACCCGCGTGCGTTCCTCTGTTCGTATTGGAAAATTCTGCGGCCACTCCCGGCTCATATCACCCCCGAGGATCTTCCTCAGACAGATGAGATCTCTCCTGATTCGCCGATAAGCATCTGGAACCAGACCAGTGGCCTGCAGCCGACCTACATAGCTGGCCCCAAGTAGTTCAACAACGAGTCTAGTGGCAGCACGTTGTACACGCTCAATAGAGTACATTTTATTGTGGACAACAGTGGAATGAGGTGAGGCATTGAAGTGAGAAGGGGTAACCAGATAGCAACTGTCATCATTCCGGTTCCGTCAAATCCCTCATTATACTCCGTTACGTGATGCTCTTTATTGCGACGGATGAGAGGTCCATCGGAACTGAAAACGTAAATGTTGTTTTGGGAAAGGCCACCCTCAACAATGGAAGAAAAGTCAGTTTGATACAATCTATGCTGACAATGATGGATCAGTGAAAAATACACATTCTTGTTTAGCACACCACACAAGACATGCATAGCTTTCAATCTCCCTGATTACCGTTCCTTCCCGATATAGCAAATTTTTAGGCATAATTCAAAAGATTGTATTTTGAACATATATTTCACTCATGTCACTGCAGAATACATTGCTTGAAATGCAAGAGTTATCTCAAATATGAATACACCAGAATAAAATTGTATTTGGATCATTTTATGCGAGCACAGTTGTTTCCACCTCATACAAACGTACACGGGGACATTTGCACAGAATGATGGTAACCATGAGGAACAAACGAGAATGTGGGTGACAAAACAGAACTACACAAGTGGGTTGCTTCTCCTTCTTTTCTGACTGGGACAAGAGCCAGATACCGGACGGGGGAAGTTGTGCAAAGGGTGTCACAAATAGGAATGCCTATTGTGAGTAGACGGATGGGACTGGATAACAGACAGAACAGGAGGCTATGAATACGTAAGATATAGATCAATCAATTTTGGCATAGAAAACAAAGAATAGAGGATCATGAACACTGAGTTTAGTATGGATGTCGACGAATGAACTGAAAGAAACCCGTACAGCAGTTGCGTCGTTGAGGAACCAAATTGTCAAACCTTGTTCCAAAAGATATCAGATTGAAACTGGAGATATGTGAAGTTCAATTCGGATAATGAGGTAGTAAAAATCGTTCAAAATTAAGTATGAAATGAAGTCTTTGGTTACATGAGAAGATTTGGCCCGGTGGAAACATCTACAAATGATCACCTCGGATGATGTGTGTTCGAATCCAACCACCACCGCCTGACTTTCCTCACTGCGTATTGTATGGCAGCGCTTTGATTGGCAGCCGCCCTCA